AGCAGTTGCAGTAGATTATTGATTCTTACGTAGTGTGAAAATATCTTTTGTGATGTAACTCTTTCAAAAGTACATAAAAATGGTTGCCATTAGGGGTGTACATGTAGATTTATTAAATACACCTTGTGCGCCACCTAGGAACAAAATCTAGAACCCGACACTTGAAATTTTTGCTCTGTTACAATCGTACCCTGTTACAATTGACCCCACTCTCCCCTACTTTAAAGAATGAAATACTCTAAATGAATAAAGCATGAAATGTGCGATTTCAATTAGTATCAATTACTTTGCAAAATTAAAACAGCCGCAAAGCCACTAAAACTTGTAACATAAAATGAACATAACTTAATCTTATTCATTGAAAAGCTAGATGGCAGCACCTCATAAAACTTTTGCTTCTGGATTATCTTAGGTAACAGAGTCCATTATCAATTCGCTGTACCCGTCACCCGTATCGGTTTGGTCAGAAGTACTAACTGCAGAAAGTCAAATCTGTGACACGGTATTCGTTTCAACCGGGCGTCGTAACCAAGGGGCCTGAGGGATCCGGAACCTTCAATAATTGGGAAATCAGGGTCCATTATTTTGAGAAAATATTATTTATACCTATATCTATATATTTTACTCTATATCTATATATTTTACTCTATATTTATATATTTTACTCTTTATCTATATCTATATATTTTACTCTATATCTATATATTTTACTCTATATTTATATATTTTACTCTTTATCTATATCTATATATTTTACTCTTTATCTATATCTTTTACTTTTCTTCTCTTCTTTTTTTACATAGTGCAACTTACTTCATTATTATAAAAAGAAAATTAATTAAAAATAAAATATACAAAAAAATGCACTGCAAATATATAAAAATTTTGCATGTAAAAAATTCAATTTTTAACTTGCGAAAATGCATGTCAAAAAATAAAACAAGTGTTTAGAGAACTACATGAATTGTCACTGTTGTCCTTTCCATCAATGAGCAATAAAACGCTCTTAGCAAAATTCTTTTCCCCCATGCACTTAACTGATTAAGATTGATTCTAAAGCATCCCTTAACTTAATGCATCCCCACGAAGATTCATTTGATACCTCAAAAATAGCCGCCTCAGTTTACATTAAGGGAAAATGTCCTTTGCATTTTGAAATGGTATTTATTGTATTTCTGGGATCCTATGCAATCTTTTAAAAATGTCGGATATCGACAGAACCATCTCTATGTTGGCTATTTATTCATAAATCACCTCAAACAGGCAATTGTCTAGAATTTATAGAAAACAGATGCATTAACCTTTTAGGGAATTAAGTAGGGGGAGACTCTTGTTGATATTTACGATTTTTTGGTGACTTTGCGAAGAGACTTTCTCTGACATTCTAAATCTTTTCTTACAAAGCACTCATATTTCTTCTCCACAATCATTTAAACTAGCTGTTTTCAACCATTTAATAAAGTTTATCTTTTGATTACAAGAGCTCATTAAATAATTTCTTGGGGGGTAATCAAATGTTTGTGTTAAAATTACGAAGTACATTTATTATTGTCTGTTTATGCAATGTCAGAATTGTTTTATGCTTTATAGTTAATATACCAAATTTATGTATGTAGTACATTAGTTCATGATTTTACCTTTCATTTTTTGCGCATAAATTTATTTTTAACGCATGGAGTTCGTTTTCATTTTATATTCATGAAATTAATGTGACGTTTAAATTTTTAAAACAATAATCAATAACTTTGTTTTCAATCATAAATTAAATGTCACGTATAATTTTATAAAGAAAATTTGCATATAATTTAATAAACAATTTTGTATTAATATTAATAATGTATATCCTTATACGAAAAATTAACATTAGCTTACATTCTAATTAATTAAAAGAACGAAGAAATATTTCAAATGCAAAAGTTTCATAAACAAAATCCATATGATTTCATTATACTCATGAATAAAAACTGTATTAAAAATATATTTTTAAGAACTGGATAATTTGTTTAATTTAATTTGTTGTACGAGTGCGTTAATTGTACTTTATGTAGTTTTATTTATTAAGTCTTTATCAAAATAATATAGGATTTTTAAAGTAATTATTTTGTGCTAATTAACATTTTCAGAATTTGGTATTTTTAACAAATATTTTTTCTGAATTAAAATTAATCTTTTTAAAATTTTAATACTGAAACTATAAATTCTGCAGAAGTAGGAAGAAATTGAGAGTTCTATGTGTCGTCTTTTTTATTTCCTTATGTAAATTTATATAAAGTTTTTGGGGGGTACCAAAATGGACCATGTGAAAACCGAAATATCTCATTTCAACTGTTTCTTTTCTTGTAAATAATAAAAAGCTAAATATATTAAATGAAATATGCATAAAAATTATTTTGACCACCATTGTTATATTTTATCATTTCTCCAAAATATGAATACTAACAATTTTCCTCTTTAAACACAACAATATTCGATTTTTAGGACTATATAAGTTAAACCGGAACAAGATGAGAAAAACGCTAAACTGAAAACTGTTTTAATATTCCTGAATTTTCCACTTTTTTTTAGAGTTTAGAGTTTTGTATAATAAGTCAAAGAATATTTGTTTATATTATAATGCGCCGACCTGGTGGCCGAGAGGCTAGCGTGCCTCACTGCGGAGCCGCTGGTCGCGGGTTCAAATCCTGCTCAGGGCATGGATGTTTATTTCTCTCTGTGCTCTATGTCCTTTCTCCTTTGTGTGTGAATGTGACCCGCCTTATAAACGGGTTTGTGGTTGTGTGACGTGGGCGACGCTGCTCCACCGCCTTGGCTTCGCCACATTTGCCCTCTGGGTAACGAGAAGAGAGTAGCAGTTCTAGCATTTTAGTGGCCAATGGGACAACCCCCAAGTGCCCGCCATTAAAAAAAAAGTTTATGATGCAATCGTAATTAACATATGAACTGTTTATATCCTATTTGGTTCCGTAGAATTATTCTATTTGTAATACTTCATTGACTGCAACGATGATAAACACGAATTAAAAATGCTATTTTCTAACAAAATCCTTTTAATTTTGTATACAATTTAAATTAAATGTCATTTTATGTTAAGACCAAAAATGTTTTTAAATCTGAATTATCAGCGAATAAAAATGTAACGAAATTAGATGAAATGAAAACTTTTTAATTCTTCATCCCTTTCATTAATTCAGATCTAAATTATTTTTGAACTGCATCTTACATAAACAATGGTAAGTTTTTGTAACTAATCTCAGTTGTATCAGCATCAGTCTGGAGCTGATACCGTAAAAAATGGTACTCACCCATCTCTACCCTTTATTACTTAGAATAGCTATTTCCATTGGTGAAATAATGTTGATCTACTGAAAGTAAAATGTTTGAAATTTATTTCAGCTTTTTCCATAGATTTCTTTTTTGTTGTTTTAATCCTAAGGAACTGTCAATTTTCAGGTTTATTTGAGCACCAGAAGAGGAGCTTGGCTGTTTCAACGTGTAGGACCGGATGGTAAGCCATTTGATGCTGCTTATACCAAACGTAATCTTGACATTTTAAGAAAAATGGCTCCATATAACATTTCCTGTTGGTTTATAGAACATGAACTAAACAAGCGTTTTGATCACGCTGCATATGGTTTGAAGCCTAAACATCATGTTTTTAGCCAACATCCTACCATAAATGATGCCTTACCCAACAAAATCCTCAGTGGAACTGTAATTCTCAGAGAGGATGTTAAATCTTTTACTGAAAATGGTGTTATTTTTAAATACGATGACCATCAAACAGACATCGACGCTGTTATCTTAGCAACTGGCTATGAAATTGCATTTCCACTTATAGGTGAGGAAATAATTCCTGTCAAACACAACAAGGTTGAACTTTACAAGTATATGTTTCCTCCTAATTTGACACATCCTAGCTTGGCTGTTATTGCTCTAGTGCAAGTAATTGGTGCTATTTTTCCAGTTGCTGAAGCTCAAGCTAGATGGTATTCATTGATAATGACAGGAAAGCGGAAATTACCAACAAAAGAAATCATGCTACAAGATATTAATGCGAAATTGAAAGCAAATAGTGAAAGATATATTCCATCCCCCCGACATACAGTACAAGTTGATTATATAACATACTTGGACGAACTAGCGGAATTGATTGATGTCAAACCACAGCTTCATAAACTACTTGTTACAGACCCTAAACTTTTTTGGGCCTTACTCACAGGTCCATCTTTACCTTATCAATATCGATTGAAAGGTCCCCATTCTTGGTCAGGTGCACGGGAAGCGATTTTAAAGTATAATGAGCGTGTTCTTGCTGCTTTGAATACTAGGAAATGCGATGATTAATACTAAAAATCATTTGAAATTTACATCAAAAAGTCATTTTCAAATTTTATCCAAATTACGATGGTTAGTTTTTAAGTAAGGGCCGTTTGAAAATAAAAACAAAACAAAAAATTTATGCAGCAAATTTATTTTTTGAATCTCCATACGTTTTTCTTTCTTTCAAAATAGTTGCCAAGTTTGCTTAAGCACTTAATGCCTTCTAAATAAATTTAGAATACCCTCTTCATAGTAATTTGCCACCTGCTCCAATAATCAAGAGGTTACGACCGTTTTCCCGCCTTCGTCATCGTTGTACTGGTTGCCGAGAAATGATCGGGCTGCATTGAAAGGTGGTTCAAAACTTCCCAGTCAAAAGAGTCGAATGAAGATCGGGACTGAGCTGTGGAGAGAGTGATTGTCACGGAGTTGCAAAAATTCCTGTCAATATGCCAGTAGGAAGTTTCGTAAACTTCACAAATCTGCCTGTGAATGTACGCAAAAGACTGGTTTTTTGCCTACTAAAAACACATTACTGACCGTACTTCATACGCTGATGGCGATTTGTTAAACTTGAACATTTAAAAGACACAGAATTGACCGTATAGGTTACCTACACAGTTGTTCCCAAGGAATGCTAGGACTCGACGCATGCACTCGTTGCGACGCACGCGTCACCTATTAGTGTACTCAACAAAATTGCTCTTGCTTAAAAAACAGCCCTCGTACATGCATCCCTTCCGAGAAATTATACAATTTTTTTCTAACTTGTTAAAAATCTTTCATTGAACTCGTCTATTTTTAATTTTATTCTGAAATAAATCTCTTCATTAACTTCCAATGTATGTACATATTTTTCTTTTCTCCAGTAAGCTACTATTATCTATTGCTGTTTAATTTTATCACAATGAAATATCGATAAATAATAAAATTTTGTTTATGTTTCGAATTTAAATTTAATATTATAAATTTCAGAACTTTTTTTTTCTTTCCTTTTCATTGAATTATATCGATGTATTTTGTCCGAAATTATAGTTTTGAAATTATCTTTGACTTAGTGCATAGATAAATTCTCTTGGCTTATCATTTTAATCCTCACGTTCTTCTCAAAAATTAGGTAAAAGCACTTATTTGATGTAGTTATATTCGTTTAGTGTATGAATTATTTTTTTCCTTTCCTTTTAATTTCATATGCACACAATTTTATAGCATTCATCAAAGTAATAAGAGAATCTGTGATATCATGTATAATTTTTATATATTTTAGCTTGATAACCTGTTTCAATCAGAATTATATTTTGTATTGAAAATGTGCTTATTTCAATGTTATATTTTGTATTGAAACGTTGTATTTTTATGCGTATTCTTATTCGATTTTTGTGAGTTGATGCATTTATACATTTATTTTTCCTTCGAAAGTTAAAAACATGTAAGTAGATCATAACAATCTTTATAATAACTGTAGTATATAATTTTGAGTTTAATGCTTTTTGGTATTTTATGATTTTGTATGTTTTTTGTCCCAGCTAATAAAATGAATTTAATTAATTTTGTTTCTAATTTATCTAATTTTGCTTCCAATTTTTATTTATTTGGAATAAAATTATTCATCACATTGTAGATTATGAGCTTCTAGCGGGTGAATAAAATAGTTTAACGAACGTTTCAAAAATGTTTAAAACTGTGGATTTGTTGCGTTTATTTTATTTGCATTCGAGTTTACTTCTCTATAAAAAAGTAAAGCTACTGATTCCGTTGAATCGAAAATTAAAGCTGCAAAATATAAGCATATTTTGAAAAATCTAAACTTTGTGAATAAAACGAATAAAACTGACGCAACTAATGAATCCTAAAAATTAATTTTTAAAGTAGATCCCACGTGATAATAAACTCGAGATCCATGGTTGGTATAAAGATATAAGTTTTTATTGTTTCAGAGAAAAGAAAACAATGGAATTTTTTTACATAATAAAGAACTAGTAATCAGAAAAAAATAGTAAAGATAAAAAGAATTAACCAGAAACCTATGATAAAGATTAAAAAATGATAATTTTTCTTAAAAATATTTTATACTCAATTTAATCATATTTTATAATCAATTCCAATATTTTGCAATTAATTCTTCTACTTCAACAGTTTCAAACATTTTTGTATATATATCGCCGTGTAAGAATCATAAAAGCTTGAATAACTATGAGTTCCTTGTTTCTTCTACATTTTGCAAGGAAAAAAAAACTACAAGGCTTTTTGCAATAAATTTAATACATTCAAAGAAAATCGTAACATTTAGGTTAAAAATAAATTTTATAAAAAAACAAAACTACCCTTACTCTTTACCAATGATATAAATATTGAAAAAAAATAGAACGGCAAAACTGAAACTTCCTTAACTTTTTGATAACCATTTTCCATGCTTAACTTATGAATAAATTCATTTTTAGAATACGCGAAATATTTTTTATTAAATGTAATGAGTTTTTCAAATATATAAAGTATTTTTTTTCTAATCTTCAACGTCAGTCATTCAGGAAAGTGTTTTGGTTTCACAGTACGACGCTGTAGCTCAAAACTTCTGAAACAAAACATGTCAAAATTAATTTCTCTGTAGATTCAATATAACGTTTAACAGATATAATTTATACTTCATTAATTCTTCAGGCCATTTGGACTCCGAGTTCCTATCTATACATTTTTATAAAACCCTTAATAGCTTTTCACTAACACCCCTAAAAAATTGATAACATGAATACAAATTAATAAAAACAAACGTATGATATTTTATACATTCTGGTCTATTATATCTTAAGCTTGTCAATTGCATGTAATAAAAAAATGTAAAAGAGTTACGCCAATAACTGCAATCCCTGGGCAAATTATTAGATGCGCTATAAGATTCTATGTTAAATCTTAATCATCAGGTGATACTATACAGCTTTATTGCTTTTGCGCAGAAACCGGTTTGTACTTGTTTACGTTTGTGTATGAATTGGTGAAATTAGACGATATATAATATAAATTCGACAATTGAATAAATTAGACGGTATATTATATAAATATAGAATAGTTATTATATCAGACGATAAATTAGACGATATATTATATAAATATGGAATATTTATTATATCAGGCATTTAGACCAAATTAATAGACGCGCTGTAGTGTTTTAATAATTGCATGTTTTGCACGAGTTTATATGCTATATTCTCATCGCTTAACATAAATGTAATGGGTTTTTATCGAGGAGATTTTTTATATACACTGAAGAGCCAAAAAAACTGGTATACCTGCCTAATATCGTGTAGGTTACCCGCGAGCACGCAGAAGTGCCGCAACACGACGTGCCATGGATTCGATCAATGTGTGAAGTAGTACTGGAGATAATTGACACCATGAATCCTGCAGGGCTGTCCATAAGTAGGAGTAAGAGGGGGCTGGGATATCTTCTGAACGTCACGTTGCAAGACATCCCAAATATCTTAAATAATGCTCATGTCTGGGGATTTCGGTGGCCAGCGGAAGTGTCTAAATTCAGAAGAGTGACCCTACACAATATTAGGCAGGTATACCAGTTTTTTTTGGCTCTTCAGTGTATATTTGCATTTATTTTTAACGTATTTCATTACAATATTTACCAATTAATACTCGAACATAAACGAGTGTAAACTGCTTTCAGCCGCGTAAAACAGTAAAGCTGTAAAGCTGTTCACCTGATAATTAAGATTTTGCATAGAATCTTACCGTGCGTCTAAAAATTTGGACTGTAACTACAGTGTAAAACGATTGATTGAGACGCATACACTCATTACAAGTCGTGGCTTTATAAGCTCATGATAGTTTTTTTTCATGAATGCATAAATAACAAAATGCAAGGGTCGTTGAATGCGGATGCCTGTGTTCCGAGTGCTGTTAAATAATTCAATGTAAGCTTTTGTCAGTAATATATATTTCCGAGAATTTCATTAAATTTAATGCTTCGTTTCCCGGATCTTTTGAAATGTTATCGTTATTTAACAATTGAATTTTTAAATGGACTGATGTATGAAGGACACCTCTACAAAATGCTCTACTACCTATAAAAAAATGACTCTGAAAATGTAAAAAAAATATATACAAAGTTTCAAACTTCACATTACATTTCTTAAAACAATTTTGAAATTTAAGAAAAAAAGCTAATAACATAGCTAAAATAAGGATTTAAAATAGTTAACCAAATAGTTTTCTATTTTTTCATGAGTAATTGTGCGTATCTATAAGAATAATGCTAAATTATTAATCACTCAGATAATGATACGAATACTAAATGAACAATCGATTTATTTTGTTTTTATTAATTTTTTTATCTCTTTTCGCAGTAAAATGGAGCAGTTTTTTTTTCTTTGGAAGATTGTAATCTAGGCAATGTTGTATTAATTTGATTGCAACCCATATCACGGATACATGATTTTCAATGTTATACTTCGCAGACTGGCTATTTTGAATCCAACCCTTAAGACAAGCAAACTTTGGGTTCGAGTATTCTGATAAATGATATATTCTGACTGGCCTTTTAAGTGAAACTGACAAATAGCTCGACGATAAGAATATCTTTAAACCAGAAATATATATTCCCTGAAAAAAAGGTATGGACGAAACTACCGGAATACGGTAGAATTAAGCAAGTTTCCTTCGTAGAAAAGCGGAATGAATTTGCGGAAATGAATTTGCTTTACAGTTATTAGTTATTTTTAGTTTTATATGTCGAATTTCAATTCATACCATTTTCATCTTAAAATAATAATCAATGTTTCCTTCTGATTTACATAATTGATTTAAAAATGTAATGAGATTATCATTTCGTGAAATATATAAATCATTCGGTTGCCTGTAATTAGTTATTTTATAAATATTTCTAGTGATGTTATATTAAATTAACCACTTCCCAGTTTTGACCGAACATCGTTCAGGTACTTGAAAAGGGGCCTTCCCTGTTTTGCTCGAGCGCCGCTCCTGCGACTGACTTTTTTACTCTATTGCAATAATTTGCCCGAATTTTTTCTTTCTTTAGTTTACAACGTTTCTAACAGATGGCTCTGGTAGTCCAGTAGAGGTATGATTGCAAAAGGTTTTGGCGCTTTTCTTTTACGCGGGAAAAGGCGTGAATTTTGTTTTCACTAGCTTAGTAGAAAAGTCAACTTTAAGTAAAAATAGCAATTGTTTTTGCTCTATATAAAAGTTAAAATTATTTCATAAAATCAGTAATTGCAATAGTTTTGACTCTTGATTTGAGTTTATGTAATCGATTTTAACAGAAATTTGTTTCTCAAAAATATGCTTATTTTTGGACCCAATTTGCCAGAAAAAAGACGCTGTTAAGCGGTTAATAATCTAAGCAAATGAGTTGCGCGTCTTCTTAAAAAGTAAACAGCAATACACTGAATTATTAACGCAGATCCTTGCTCGGTACCACTTGTCTCATGCTTGCAAAAAGAAGGGGGAAGCATGAACTGCAGAAGATTCACGTCTCATGACTGAAGAATGTGGTGGACAACTTCTGAGGATCATTAGACCCGGAGCACCCAAAAACAGAAGACTGACTTAGTTCCTGTGCCTGCAGACTTTAGTTAAGCATAATGGAGCGGCTTTCACACCTTGTTTGGCCCTACAAAAAGAATATAGTTTGTCTATGTAAAGAACTCCCCTAGACATTCGTCTGGAGTAGTGGCGGTGACTATGGTTACGAGTTTTAACTATTTCAAGTAGGGGTTTTGGATCATAATTTAAGACAGATTTTGGCTCAGGACGGTGAGAGGCAGGTTATCAGGGGGGAGAGAAACTCCCCTTTTTGAAATGCGCTATTTCCTGTTTCCATAGCAGCAGACGGCCTTAGACTTCATGATGAGGGGAGTTCTTGCCAGCACTCTCAACGTACTTCACCCACTCCGCCCAAATACACCCCCTCACCGTTGATAGAGCTGTCCAAAGTTTCATCAGCTGACTCTTGAGTGGACAAATAGGGAGCCTTACATATCGATGATGGACTGAAATCTTATCGAGTGTGCACCAAGTGCACGTCTGCACAGGTCTCCCCAGGGCATATTCACTGTGAGCGGCTTTTGCATGAGGACATTAGAACTACACCTCTTACTGTGTATGACTTTTTAAGGATTCCCGACCTCCTGGACATGGACTAGCTTGTAGCTAGACCTTGAAGAATAAGTCACAAAAAGAATGGGACAAAAGTGGTATAGTTCCGGGCATTCAATCGACTGCTGAAATTCCATTTTTTTTTAGAAAGGAAACAAAAATTCTTCATACTAGAAAGATTTAAAAAAGAATAATTTCAAAAATACATCTCCGAAATGAGAAAATATAAATTAATCATCTTATGATTCCTTATAAAATTTAAACTAATTGTTTTGCAACGAATCAAATTACTTTATACCTAACCCATTTTCTTTCCCTTATACTTAATAATCATATGGAAGAATTTACCCCGACCCGCCCTTATTTAGGGCATACGGGTAAATGTTTATTAAAATAAAAAAAATCCAGAAAACAGTACAAACATA